ATAGAAGGACAAACCGGGTTCTATAGCCTTGGATAGCAACTGGTCTACCGCAGAAAGAAATAGCAACCTACCGCGGGAAAAATTTGTCTCGTCATCGAAAGACACATGATCACCTAAGCGTGTATCACGCATGGCACATAAACTTGCAGCGAAAAAGTTATTGACGAGAAACAGAAGGCAACTGACGAGAAATAAATAACCGAATACAATGGCGGAGGAAGAAGAAACAATGCAATTGACAAAGAAGAAGAAGAAGCAGAAGAAGAAGAAGAAGAAACAAAATGTGATTGACGTTTAAGGGGGAAACCGAATGCGATTGATGCAGGAGAGGCGACAGATTGTGAATGAAGGTGAAGAAGAAACAGAATGCGGTTGACGACAAAGACGATATCGAATGCAAATCTCGAGGAAGAAGAAAAAAAAATTGACGCGGAAGAGGAAGCAGATTGCGATTGACGAGGAAAAGCGATTGACGAGGAAAAAGAAACAGGATGCAATTGAAACGAAAAGGACGAACGTAGAAGAATGCGAATGACGAGGAAAAAGAAACAGAATACAACTGACGTGGAAGAGGAAATCGAATGCGATTGACATTGAAGCAGAAACAGAATGTAATTGACGAGAAAGAGGAAACAGAATGCGAATAACGAGGAAGAGGAGACCGAATGCAATTGAGGATGAAGAGGAGACCGAATGCAATTGATGCGGAGGATGAAACATAATGTGAATTACGAGGAAGAAGAGACAGAAAGCCATTGAAGAGAAAGAGAAAACAGAATGCGGTTGACAATAAAGAAGGGACAGGATATGCTTGAGGAGAAAGAAGAAACAAATGCGATTGACGTGGAAGAAGAAAGAAAATATGATTTGAGAGGAAGAGGAAACAATGCAATTGACGAGGAAGAATAGAATGCAAGTAACGTAGAAGAGGAAACAGAAGGCGATTTATGAGGGCAAAGAAACAGAATGCAATGATCGAGGAAGAGGAAACCGATTGTGACTCACGATGTAGAAGAAACAGATTTGAGATTGATGAGAAATCGGGAACCGAATGTGATTGACGATGAAAAAGAAACAGAACGCAATTGACGAAGAAGAGAAAACTGAATGCGATTGACGAGGAAAAAGAAACAATGCAATTGACGAGGAAGGAGGAACCGAAAGTAAATGACGCGGAAGAAGATATCGAATGCAATGGACTATGAAGAAGAAACTGAATGCAATTGACGAGAAAAAAGAAACAAAATATGACTGACAATGAAGAGGAAATCGATGGAGGAAGAGGAAACAGAATGCAATTGACGAGGAAGAATAGAATGCAAGTAACGTAGAAGAGGAAACAGAAGGCGATTTATGAGGAAAAAGAAACAGAATGCAATGATCGAGGAAGAGGAAACCGATTGTGACTCACGATGTAGAAGAAACTGAATGCAATTGACGAGAAAAAAGAAACAAAATGTGGCTGACAATGAAGAGAAAATCGAATGCAGTTGACGATGAAGAAGAAACAGAATGCGGTTGTCAAGAATGACGAAACGGAATGCAGTTGACGTGCAAGAGGAAACAGAATTCGATTGACGTGCAAGAGGAAACAGAATTCGATTGACGTGCAAGAGGAAACAGAATTCGATTGACGTTCAAGAGGAAACAGAATTCGATTGATATGCAAGAGGAAACAGAATTCGATTGACGTGCAAGAGGAAACAGAATTCGATTGACATGCAAGAGGAAACAGAATTCGATTGACGTGCAAGAGGAAACAGAATTCGATTGACGTTCAAGAGGAAACAGAATTCGATTGACATGCAAGAGGAAACAGAATTCGATTGACGTGCAAGAGGAAACAGAATTCGATTGACATGCAAGAGGAAACAGAATTCGATTGACGTGCAAGAGGAAACAATTCGATTGACGTGCAAGAGGAAACAGAATTCGATCGACGTGCAAGAGGAAACAGAATTCAATTGACGAAGAAGAGGAAACGGAGTGTCATTGACGATGAAGAGATGGTGATTTATATTGCATTTAATTTTTTGATGATTGTCGGTGGCAGGGAAGCAAGAAACTGGAATAGAGTTCCACATGCAAGAAGTACGAGAAAAAGAAACTATTCGAATAGAACTTATGGTTACATAGCGCCATATCAACTGTAAAACGATAAGATCTATTTGCCAATCTAGTAGTTCGCTTACATTCAGTTGGTCGGGGGACCAAGGAGAAGAGCGATATTTATTTCCGCTTATTTACAGAAGATGTGGCACAAGGCCAAAATGGGGAATGGGGAAAAGGACAGTCTTCTTATGTCTTAAAGTTAAACATAGCTAGCCACAAACACTGACCCAAATATACAACAATATTCCTTAAACCAAAACAACACATCCTTACTTACCTTTCTTAATGCATCCACCGTAATACCACATTGTCTCTATGAAGATCCTAACTTTTCCCAATATGTACAATTCATTGTCTGTGGGTGGGGAGGGGAATAAAATAACAACTTTAAAACTAGCCCCAGTGAGTGTTTACAATATGAATACAAATATATTTACAAAAAACCAAGGTCCAAAGAGGAGAGCTTATTAGAACAACTGTTATGAAAATATCTTTAGAAAAGACTGAGGGAAGCGGCGTTGGGAAAGTGACTGAAGCGGAGATGCCTGGTCATGACCGATAATATTGCAGGCATTTCTTTGGATTTTGTCGAGAAAATCTGCTAGGTCGCTTCACTGAGTCATACTATAGAATTTTTCTCGCCATAATCTATCTTACATATCTATAGGTCTATCATTCATAAAGGTATTGAATATTGCTATCACATCTGGTCTGGTGCTCCTACTATACATTTAGTGATTTTTGATAAAATCCAAAGAAGAATTTGCAATTTTATTGGCCTTGATCTGGCATCCCGGCTTCACTCACTTTCCCAGTGACGTAACATAGCTTCCCTGTGCCTTTTCTCTGAACATTTTCATGGTAATTGTTCTAATGAACCTTCCTCTATGCTACCTAGACTTTACGAATTTAAGTGCAGTACTAGCTTGGCGTCAAGGGTTAATCTATTGAGAGTTGAAATGACTAGATGCAACCGGAAGTTCTATGCTAACAGTTTCTTCTCTGGCACTTCTCACTTGTGGAACTCTCTTCCGGCTTCTTGCTTTCCAAACAGTTTTGATCTTTAAAAATTTAAATACAATGTCAATCGTTATCTTTTTAAAATCCCGTTCTTTTATTTTCTTGCTTGTAATGTTTTCTTTTTCTCATATTCTCTTACGCTCAGTAAAGCCCTTCCGTCTTAGCGGCTTTATTGCTTGGGATGGAATCATGAAAAAAATATACACGGAGGGCCAGACTATATATGGAAGCAATATTCATTGTACAGGCGAATGGTAGATTTATAAATGTGGAAAATGTATTCTCTTAAGAAAATTTGTCTGACACGAAAGAGTGAACCAACTTTCCTCGTAGAAGATCGAGCAATTGATTTCAATATAATCACTCCACTTCAGGTTAGATGATTCTTTGGATTTTATCAAGATTCTCCAGATATATATGTATATCAGGCACCAGAGGAAATATAGTGGCAATATTCAATGCATGGACGAATAATAGATTTATAAATGTACTAGCAGCATTACCCGGCGTTGCCTGTGTTTATTCAAAAAAAGATCACGAATCTCATCCAATCTGTAAAATTAAAATAAAGAAGATTTTATCTTTAGTGCCTCTTATCAATATGGCGAAAAATTATAATGACATGAAGTGTGAAAACATTTATAACAGGAGAAAGTTGTTTTTTACAGAAGCACAAAAGATACAAAAAATATTTGTAAGCAAATGAAGAGTATATTAATCGCAATCGGTCTACGAAAATTGTTGAGGAGAAATGATTTGTTGACAGCTTTTGCTCAAACTACATCGAATGAACAACATGCATTGGAAGGAGAAGAAATTCAACAAAGACTCCTAGCAGCCGTGCCAAGGCTGAAAACCAACGTTCACAAAGACTGTCTAGAATTGTTCTTTGCCCCTAAGTTTCGACAGCTCGAGTAGCAGCAGTTTTGATAATCGTTTTTGATTCATTTTAAGATTGTAACATACATGTAAAATTCTGTCGAAATCGAAGCAATTTGAAAATTTGGGGGTCCCTTTGGTTCACCCTAGGGGTCCCAAATTTCAAGCCAAAGGACAGGTTTAAGACTAATAGTAATTGAAATAATAAAGCAGATCTTTTTAAAGTTTTCTATTTAATCGACTTTATGGCTAAGGCTGGAGACTTAATTGAAAATTTCGGGGTTCCCTTCTGGCCCCCTAACTCGCGGGGGTCCCATTGTTGATTTTCAGTGAATTCCAAGAGACTACTTCAGTTACTCGATATAATCTCAATATGTACTGAAATATTCGTTGAAATTGGGGAATACTGTTACAAAATACACTTGAAAAGCAATTGGGCCATCAAGGGGTTTATAGGGTCATCCTTGGGGGGGGGGCTCATGCATTTTTAAAAATCTGACAACCGATTTCTATCTCATTGTAAGAGCGTAACAAACATGCAAAATTTCATCAAAATTGAAGCAATTTGAATTTTTTGGGGGTCCCTTTGGGGCACCCTGGGGGTCCCAGTGTCGAGAGAAATGAAAATCAATATAGCGTATAATAAGCGTGACAGTAAGTTGCAGACACTTATCAAGTTTCATTAAAATCGGACTTAGGGTTTAGACTTCAAGTCTGAAAGTTTAAAAACAACCAAACTAATGGAAATTCCCGTTTAAACATTATATTTATCGATTATCGGTTATTGATTTTTGAAAAATTACTATTTTTGTGCCCGGACACACCCAGTATCGAGTACAATCTATGTTCCAAATTTGGTGGAAATATGCCTTATGGTTCTCGAGTAGTTCGCGAACTCACACACACACCCACATGGTCAGTTTTAGATAGATAGATAGATAGATAGATAGATAGATAGATAGATAGATAAAATGGATCCTTCTTTGGATTTTGTCGAAGATCTTGAGATATAGTCATTTTCATTCTCAGATTGAACCCAACAGTTACTGTACGCACTGCACAGCGAATCGAACTTGCTTAACTATTATACGCCATTAAGGGCTCGGGTTTATATATTCATATAGACTATAGAAAATCCATTTAAACAATTGCCAGGCTGATCGGATCATCACGGAAGGCAGATTTGCGACCGGCTCGTTCCATGCCCGCGTCACGGCATTTGGAACATCTGCCTTGATATTCGTTTTATGTTCAGCTTCCCATATCGTTGTCTGTCCGCAGGAGTTTGTCTTCTACACGCCATCATTTTCAGTTATGTGCATACAGACACATAAAATCATATAAATATTTCTTTATGAAATATCAAATATCAAACGACCTTTGTTCATATTTCCTGCCATATCGAATTCATTCGAAAACGTGACAGTAAATGGATTGTCGTCACGAAACACTTTCTGTTGCCATCGTTACGAATTTTTGTTTGTGAACCTGAAGAATGTCTCATTTCATAAATATAGAACTGATATGTATCTGGGGATTTTCTAAGATTAAGTTAGTCTGACATAAGGCCATTATTAGGGAGCTGTAACGTTATGTAATAAACGTCTGTTAAAAATACGAAACAAAATCTTTTATATGAAAAATGTCTGGGCGCCTCGACGTGATGTCACTGTCTCGCTAGAATAATTACGACTGAGTAGTGTTATCGATCTTCAGTGAATGCCCCATACTTTCGGCCTTGTGCCAACCATAAGTTGATTTTTAACAGTCATTTAACTTGATAATTGAGTCTACCCATACAGTGAAAACCCGCGTACATGGCGAAAATTTACGACTTTCACTGGTTTCTTTCTTATTTTTCATTGATCTTTCAACCAATTTTCATCAAACTTAACAATTGCTTTATAAATGTATTCTCTTTTACATCCCTGGTAGCACACTGACAAATTGAATTTCAAAAACTCCAAAATAATTGTAGTCTAAAGTGGGTCTTCATGTTTGTTTTACTCTTTCATGTCCTCGTCTAACTTCGATTGAATAAATACAGACGACTTCTGTTATATCAGTAACTGCATTCATTCAAAATGTTTTTTTTAATGAAAGTACTTTAAAGTAATTGAAGAAGATAGACTCTGTTACATCTAAACATGATGCTGTTTTTGCTCCATTCTAATTGAAAGCTTTTTTCTGATCGACCAGCTGGGTATGGCTGCTAGTAGTTTTATAATTTGATGTCCATAAACTTATAAAACTATGTAAAATAATTGCTAACAACTGTTTCTTCTTTTGCAATATACGTTTCCATGAGCAAAGATTCGGCTTACCTATGGCGTCACCTATTAATGGCCGGTCCATTTAAACACATCATACCTAAAAGCTCCACTTACCGAAGAAACAGAAGTCACGTTCTTTTATTATATCCTTAAAATATAAATTTATTAGACATAATATAGACACTTATTAAGGTTGAATCTACCATCGAAGCCACACATCAATTTGAAATAAACAAATATCTGCCTTTTCCTCGACTTCTTATAAATGGGTGGTGTGGTTAGAACGTCCACATTCTTATCATAAGACCCGGGTTCGAATCTCTGATGTTATCGGAGGGGTCGATCTCAGCGTTGGAAAGGTGACACAAGCAAAACTGTGTAAGAACGGTCACAAGTCATCGATCACGCTAGATAACACGCTCTTTCCCAGAAACTGTAACTAAGGTCTGCTCAGCATAGTTGCAGTATAAACCACAGGTGGGCTCTGTGGGTGTTGAATAAACACAAATGTGCCTGGGCAAGCGTCTGCAATAGGGATTGCAGGCACCCTAGTAGACGACCAGCTATACATTAATACGCAACAATAACAAATTGATTTTAGAGATTATCGTCAACAAAAAAATATCGTCTTCACTTCTAATCCCACCCCAATCAAAAAATAAAATCAGGATTAGTGACAGGATTCTAACTCAGAGCTCTAAGGATATGTAGGCCCCGAATCCCGAAGAGAAATACACTGAGAAAACATTTAGACATCTTCATTACCGTCATGATTTCATCTTCAACGCAAGAAGAGGAGCTTATAAAATCCACAAATCAAGAAAAAATAAACATCACTATAAAAAATAATGTATAAACATAAAAATGAATTATTTACATTATTCGGACTATTGTCCTCATCTTTGTCGCCATATTTATTACAAGGTTTCGGCGTTGTACGCTCCAGCCTTCTTCAGGTGGTTGGAATGTCGAACTGAACCCTTTATTTCGTTCACTGGGGTAGACTGTTCTAGTTCCACGTGCCATGTTTAATGGATGTCAGTTATCAGTTATCTCCTGTTAATTTCCCTCTGCAAGTTCTTAGCCGGGTATTGAACTCACACTCTTTGGGTCCTGTCACTGGATCTAACTAACGCCTGTCCTCAAGGACACATGACTCAGTGGATAAAGGCGTTGGTTAGATCGAGTGACAGGACCCAAAGAGTGTGAGTTCAATACCCGGCAAAGGCATTGGAGAACTTTCAGAGGGGAATTAACAGCAGATAACTGACATCAATTATACATGGCATGTGGAACTAGAACAGTCTACCCTAGTGAGCAAAATAAAGGGTTCAGTTCGACATTCCAACCACCTGAAGAAGGCCGGAGCGTACAACGGCCGAAACGTTGTAATAAATATGGCGACAAAGATGAGGACAATAGTCCGAATAATGTAAATAATGTACATAATACCTCATCTCAGAAATATAGACAGATAATAAACATAAAAATGTCTTAAAATAGATAGATAGATAGATAGATAGATAGATATGGCGAACATGGTTGTAATGAACCAACTCAGTAAAACTAAAATCAGCTTTTGTTTCAGGAAACAAAGCACATACAGTAGTTCAACATATTCAAATTCTCTCTATTTCCCAAGAATGTATAGCAGTTCACAGATAATAAAGAAAAGAAATTTGTAGATCACCAACGTTCTGAAGGGAGATAGCCTTTTTCTTTGTCTTCTACATATGAATGAGTGTCTAAACGTAAATCTATTTTATGTTCGTAGATATGGGCTTACAGATTTCATATCTCGCCAATATAATATTTTTACATTGATAAGTACCGACACCTGAATTGGTATTGGATTTATTTATAGCACTTCTAACAACAGCAACACATATTTCATAGCTCTACCTTCTAACACACTTTCTACAAAACTTGTAAATAAAATAATTATCCCTACTTACCGCCATGTCCAAGGCAATTAGAGATATAGTAAGCAAGAGAAATAAATCCAACGTAACGTATCGCCACAAATTATACTAACCTTTGTTTAACAAGTCGAATGCACGTGAAACATGATTGACACTATTTACATTATTCGGACTATTGTCCTCATCTTTGTTGCCATATTTATCACAACGTTTCGGTCGTTATATACTCCGGCCTTCTTCAGGTGGTTTGAATGTCGAACTGAACCCTTTAGTGACAGGAACCAAAGAATGTGAGTTCAATACCTGGTTAAGGCAGTGGGGAAATTGGAGAGGAGAATTAACAGGAGATAACTGATAACTGACATCCATTAGACATGGCACGTGGAACTAGAACAGTCTACCCCAGCGAGCGAAATAAAGGGCTCAGTTCGACAGTCCAACCACCTGAAGAAGGCCGCAGCGTACAACGGCCGAAACGTTATGATAAATATGGCGACAAAGATGAGGACAATAGTCCGAATAATGTAAATAGTGTACATAATACCTCATCTCAGAAATATAGACAAACATGATTGACCAATGAAAATCAAACAACACAAAAACAAAAACACCAGAAAATTCCTTTTTTTTCATAGTTCATTCTCTGATGAAGCTTTAATAAAAGTGAAACATGTTAAATTGATAAACGTTTTCTATTTGGTCTTTATTTTAACACACACACACTCACACACACATACATACAAACACACACACACACACACACACACACACACACATATATATATATATATATATATATATATATATATATATATACGAGGTCTGATAAAAAATTATTGAGACTGGTGGTACAAAAAAGAAAACTACAACATATATCAATTCGGCATTTAAACTCCTTTGAAATAGTCACCTTCTGAAGCCATAAACTTTATCTACCGTCGTTTCCATCGATGGAAGCATTCCAGTAACTTTAGGGATTGCGTGCCTTGTCACATTCTCTTGTATTTCCTCGGTGTCTTGAAATCTTGTTCCTTTCGAGTAGCATTTGATTTTAGAAGAAAAAGTCTCAAGGTGTGAAGTGGGGGAATTAGGGAATATGGTGGTTGTCGGACGTGGGTGGCAACGTCGTCTTTTGCCAAAAACTGCTTCACAAGGCATGGTCACTAATAGAACGACTGTGGTGTAATAAAACTACTACACTCTACACGCTTTCCTTCCATGCACTGCTATAAACAATGTGAAACAAACGGGTGTGAGCGACAAGATTATAACTATATATATATACGCGGTAGAGTTCAAAGTCAATCTGCTACAAGCAGCTTCACCCTGCTCTGTTACCATAGCAACAGTTCCGATATTTTTTGATCAATCCTTGTATATACGAAATAGAAAGCTGGGAAGAAGAGAGAAATAAATTGATGTGCGTGTACGTGTGTGGGGGGTATGTATGTGTGTGTGTGTAGGTACGTCTGTGTCTTTTTAGGACTGCGTGAATTTCTGTACACGGAAAAACGGTCGAATTTGGGTTGTTTTTTTTTATTTTTTATTTTATTTATTTATTCATTTTTCGTCGTCTGGAAATTCTCGCGGCTTCAGAGCCGATCTGGAGTTTGAGAAAATTTATCGCTACAATTAAATTATAGTTCTGCCTGCCTATTTCTCCGTTAACTGGTAAGTTAGAACGTGCTTTACCCACCCTCGCCATTACCTTAGATAAATAATGGACCTTTCCGTTTTTTATGGCGAGAAAAGACGGAAGGAAATAATATATCAGAAACTCTGCTTGGCATTAATCAGAAAAGAAGCCATGCATTATAAGAAAGAAAGAAAGAAAGAAAGAAATGAAGGACGAAAGAAAGAAATGAAGGACGAAAGAAAGAAAGAAAGAAAGAAAGAAAGAAAGAAAGAAAGAAAGAAAGAAAGAAAGAAAGAAAGAAAGAAAAAGAAATGAAGGACGAAAGAAAGAAAGAAAGAAATAAAGAAAGAAAGAAAGAAAGAAAGAAAGAAAGAAAGAAATGAAGGACGAAAGAAAGAAAGAAAGAAAGAAAGAAAGAAAGAAAGAAAGAAAGAAAGAAAGAAAGAAAGAAAGAAAAAAAGAAGGAAGGAAGAAAGAAAGAAAGAAAGAAAGAAAGAAAGAAAGAAAGAAAGAAAGAAAGAAAGAAAGAAAAGAAAGAAAGAAATGAAAAAGAAAGAAAAAAGAAAAGAAAGAAAGAACGGAAAAAAAGAAAGAAAGAAATAAAGAAAGAAAGAAAGAAAGAAAGAAAGAAAGAAAGAAAGAAAGAAAGAAATGGAAAATAAAGGAGGCGATAATGCTTCTCATACATTTCACGTCTGCTTGTTTATTTTTAATCATTTTCGTTTGTAGCCTTTTTCTTTTTTGAATAATTACTTACATTCATACTTATAGTCGTTATTTCAATATTTGGTTAAAGATATTAAGCTCAGATATTTACCAATGAAAGGGGTGGATATTCCACGGGTGTTTTATAGTCAAGGGACTTATTCAATCATCAAATTAAGAATTATGCTTCATCAGAAATTTTAATTGGGAAAACCATGAAATTTTCATGAATGCTGCTAGTTAAATTTAATTATAATGGTAATGATGATGATGATGATGGTGGTGGTGGTGGTGGTTCAATTTCCGGTTACTTATTATGTAGATCAGGGGTCGGCAACCCTTTGGAAAGAGCGAACCAGAAAGCTATGCAGTATCTCGGAGGAAGGCTCAGTTAGTTATGTGCCATGCAAGATACACGCTTAGGCGATCATGTATTTTTCGATACATGACTGACGAGGCAGATTTTTTTTCGCGCTGGAGGTTCCCATTTCTTTCTGCGGTAGACCAGTTACCATCCAAGGCTATAAAACCCGGTCTGTCTTACTATTTACCCATAGCTGAGTCGGGGGAGAAGAAGAGGATTCATGCATTTCCCAAGGGTATTATTAGCACGTAAGTGAATGTAATGGATCTGACTGGAATTCGAACTCGGCTCTCCGATAATATCAAATTTACTATTTCAACCTCAGACAGTTCCATCCAGAAGGCTGCTTTGGTCAGGAGGTTTAAAGAAATAATGACAAAGTTAATGTTATATTATTTAAACATGGTTTCTTATTTTATTGCAGCAATAACAGGATAGCAACGTGCACAAACAAGAAAAAAATGCAAATTCTAAGGTTATGTTTGCGGGCCGGACAAAAATCCTTCGCAGTATAGCCCAGGAGCCGGGGGTTGCCGACCCCTGATGTAGATAGTTTTTTCTCTGTTCGAGGGGTTTTTTTTTAAATCATGACATCCTAAGTGAGGCAATAAAGCCACTAAGACGCAATGGGTTACAACAATAAGAATATGCGAAAAAGAAAAGCGTTATTAACTAGAGGGAAAATACAAAAACAGGAATTAAGAAGACAGTATATAATGATTGACGTTATATTTAAATTTATGAAGATCAAAGTTGACTGGAAGGGAGTTCCACCAGTGCGAGAGAAGAAACTATTAGCATAGAACTTACGGCTTCATCTAGCCAGCTCAACAGTAAATTGATGAGATCTTAACGCTTAAATTAAAAAACTCTAGGTACCACAGCGAAGAGCAGCTCATTCAAACAATTACAATAAGATTATTTATAGAAAAGATATAAACAGGCAACCTTACGGCGGTGGGAAAGTGAGTTGAGCTAAGCCGCCAGATCAGGACCAATAACATTGCAGATTGTTCTTTGGATCTTATCAAGGAACTCATGGTAAATAGCAGGGGCACTAGACCATATGTGGCATCAATATTCTAGGAATGGACGAATGGTAGACTTATAGATATGTAGGATAGATTCTGGAGATTTTGTCACACCTTACAGAATAAACCGACTTTCTTATCGGCTGATCTAGCAATGGATTCCACTTCATATCAGCAGAGATCGTGATCCCGACAAGGAGGTTAGCATTAGTCATAACGGAAGGCAGGAAGAGGTTTCTCAGATGATTAATGGAAAGAAGTTTAGTTTTGGGGGCCATTAAAATGAACAAGCCATCTTTTGCCACAGTTAACTATGATTTGAGACCGTTTTGAACATCGGCTGCCATATTGACCTTGTCGGACAGATATTGACCTTGATAAGCCTTACTTAGTTACAGCTAGCTATTTCAACTGTAAAATGATGAGACCTAACTGCCAATTCGTAAATCTAGGTACGAAAGAAGAAAGTTCATCAGAACAATGCAAAGAAATAAAATTTTGTTATGGTCCGGTTTCTTGTACCACGTTGATAGTCCAAGGTAGAACCATTAAAAAGAACTCGAACACAGGTATGGAATAACACAGATATATTACAAACAGGAATATATACAGAGAAGACGAAGTGTTAGTATGAACAATCAGGTTTAGTAGAGAGAACAATGTAGTCTCGGCCAGTATCACTATTCCAATGTCTTGCAGTAATAGTCTGAACGCGACTCCCTGCCTACTCCTGAGGCGCAGTATTTATTAAGTATGGAATAGTCCATTATTATTATTATGGGTAAGATCCCATAACAAATTTAAAAACAAATGGCTAAATAAATTCTATTTTCCAGTCCAAAACAAACAGCTCTCACTGTAAGCACTTTTTATTTCATTAAA